TCATGTAACTTTGGGGCTACCTCCTCTGGGGTGCTGCTTGGGATCTGCCTTGGGCTTGGGACGCAGGGACCAGCCTTGTCAGTACTGAGTGTGAAGTAAGAGTAAGGAGGCTCTGAGAGAGACCACGGGTGCGTGCTGGTACTCGGCACAGCATCCTTGGCAGGTCAGAGGCCATCCCTGCTGATTTCCTGGTTCCCGGGGTTGGGGGGGGCGCTCTCTGGGTAAGCGAGGCAGCTGGATAGGTGATGCTAGGCAAGCCAGGGGTGTGCACGCCATTCTGGCTGGGTCTGTTGGGCTGGCTCCCGTGGCCTGCTCAGGGACCACACTGGCTGGCATCTCTCCCAGCCTCCAGAGCCACGGGGCAATTCCACCACGGCCAGCTTGAAAGCAGCGCTTCTGTGGCTTTTCTGCGGCCAGGTGTCTGTGGGGACCGGGCGCTAGGCTGGCTGTGCGTCTCAGCGGGAGCTGGGGAAAGCCGGCATCCGGCTCTCCCTTTTCCCTGCCGGTTCTCACGAGCTCTATCTCCATGGAAAATGTGAATCTTGCTGGCCAGGGTCCAAATGCAGGGGGTTCCATTGTTCTGCTTTCCGCCCCAGGGTCTGGCACCCATCCCCAGCCTGGCCTTTCTCCCAGCGCCTACAGGTCTTGGGACAAACCATTCAAGAGCCTCAACCCAGCCACCTTCCTGACCTGGAGAACAGACCCTGGGGAGGTCCTGGCCTGGCTTGCCTCCTCCTTTGTTCCAGATGCTTCTACCAGATGCTTCCAAGCAGCTCAGTCCTCAGTGCTCTCTCCTTGCAGACTTTTTCATCCCTGTCCTTCACTCACAGACTCTACTTCACAGGAGGGAAGGGAGGGAGGGAGGGAGGGAGGGACGGAGGGAGGGAGGGACGGAGGGAGGGAGGGACGGAGGGAAGAAGAAGGAAGGTGGTCAGGGAGATACTGAGTGAGGCCCTTGCACATGTAGTCATTTGTACCTGTGACAAAATGTGCATAACCATTTCAACGTGTACAATTCAGTGGCATTAACTTTGTTCACAGTGCTGTGCAACCTTCACCACGTATTTCCAAAACTTTTCATCCCCCCGAAAAGAAGCCCCTCACCCATTAAGCAGTCCCTCCCCACTCCCCTCTCCCAGCGCCTGGCAATAACTCATCCATTTTCTGTCTCTATGGATCTGCCTGTTCCGGATATTTCGATGGAATCATACAGTTTGTGGGGTTTTGTGTCTGGCTTCTTTCACTGAGCGCAGTGTTTTCAAGGTTCATCCATGTTGTACCAGGTGTCAGTGCTCCATTGCTTTCTATGGCTGAATAATATTCCACCGAGTGACGGTGCTGCGTTCTGTCGATCCGTTCACCAGCTGATGGACATTTGGGTTAGCGCTGCGGTGTCATGTCACTTTACATACGCTCACGTTGCTATGATCTAAGCAGGACTCTACCCATTTTAGCCATGAAAAGGCTGGGGCTCAGAGGCCCTGTGACTTGGAGTAGGAGGTAGTTAATTTAAAAAGAAAAGAAAGGAAAAGACCTGGGCTTTGGAGCTGAGAAGACCTGGGTGAGAGCAAGAAAAGAACAGTGTCCAAAGATGGTGCACCCCGGGAGCGGGTCATATGGCTTTCCACACACAGCCTGGGCCGCGTGACCTCCCCAGGAGGTGGGACTATTTTTAGTTCCATTTCAAATAAAGGAAACCAAGGTCCATCTGCCTGCTGCTTGAATGTGTCCATTGGGGGCAAGTTTCTTCACTTCTGAGCCTCGAAAACCCCCTCACCACCCGCTCTGTGATGTGGGAACCTGGCTGAGGCCGGAGGAGATCGTGGGTGTGGGCACTGAGGGTGGCTCAGCTGGGCCTTCCTGCCCGCGCAGGCCTGGCCCTGCTGGGCCTCCTGGGCTCCCCGGCTCCGGGTCCCCGTGGTGGAGGCGACGGGAGGCTGTGGCTCCTTATCGCTGCCTGGGCTGCTTCCTTAGCCGGGGGAAGGTTAGCCGTTTCTCCATCGGCCGCCTCCCCGAGTCACACTGCAAGGTCATTGAAGGCATGTCCCTTGGCGTGCTGGTCAGTGGCCAGCACTGCAGACCAAGCCCTCTCCGACTTCTCCGGCCACTGGAGCCCTATTTCAGGTCATGTAGTCTGCGGGCAACAGCATGAGGCTGAGTCCTGGTTCCCTGACTGGGTGGTGATTCTTGTACCACCTGAGCAAGAGTGGGACCCGGGCTTCAGCTGCCCCATCTGTAGAGTGGGGCTAAAGTCAGTTTCCAGCTGCAGGGGACCCAGGACAGGCAGGAAGAACCACTGCAGCTCCAGCCAGTGAGTGCCAGGCAAAAGAAGGGTGGCGTGGGATGGCGGCAGGCCTTCCTTGTGCCCTACCCCTGCCACCTGGCATTCTCTAACCCTCGACCTCCTGGGTGCCTGGCCGCAGGAACCCCGTTTTGCAGATCAAGGACAGGAGTAGAGATGCAGAGATCGCACCGCTGCAAGCGTCAGACCCCAGGGCCCCTGGATCCTATTTACCCACAGGAAAGCACAATTCTCCAGGGGCTTTTCGGTTCCACGGGGATTTTCTCACCAACACTGGACCTCAAGCAGCAGTAGGTTTCAGGCTCAGGCTCCACCAGTAGAGGCTTTGGCGGTGCTTTTCCAAAACTGCATGTTGTGGGTCCCTCCTTTTCTCCACCCTGGACCTCCTTTATCATTCTTTCTCCATGGATCCCTGTGGGAAAATGTCTCACCCACCAAACACGTTGCAAATATTAATCAGTGACAAGCTCCTTTGCCATTTTGTGCAATCAGAGACACAGAATGCCTGCCAACCGGAAGCTCTGAACAGCCTGATGTATGAGTTTCCTGTGGCTGCTATAACAGGACTACACACTGGGCAGCTTAATCAAGAGAAGTGTCTTGTCTCTCAATTCTGGAGGCTGAAGTCTGAGATCAAGGTGTCAGCAGTGTTGGTTCCTTCTGAAGCTGTGAGGGAGGATCTGCTCCAGGCCTCTTTCCCAGCTCCTGGTGGCAGATCCTTGGGGTTCCTTGGCTTCTTGACACATCACCCCCATCTCTGCCTCTGCCTTCATATGGTGTTTTCTTCGTGTCTCTGTATCTCTGCAACGCATGTTCAAATGTCTCTCTTATAAGGACGCCGTCATGGGATTAGGGCCCTCCATAATCTCCTATGACTTCAACGTACCTTGATCACATCTGCGATGACCCTATTTCCAAATAAGATCGCAGACAGAGGCACCAAGAGTTGGGACTTGTACATATTTTCTGTGGGGACATAATTCAACCCCGTACACCCAAGTTACCATTTCATATAATGTTTGGGTCTGGTTTTCTGGCCCTACCAGAGGGAAACGCACAACTTGGTGAAGACTCTTGGAACGTGGAAAGGAGCTCAGGGCTGTTAGTCCCCAACCGGGTGGTGTCTGTGACTCGTCAGAGAGTGGAAACCATAGCATTGCCAAGGGCTCTTTTCCCACCTGTCCCATGCTTGCCTGTCTGCAGGAGGCCCATTGGGGCTTCCCAGACTTATCACAGGAAAACGGGAAAGTCAGGGAAGTCAGGTGAGCAGACAGACGGGCCTCTTGGGAAGCCACTGCCCAGAGCTGTCCCTGCCTGCAACAACCCAGCCCGGCCACAGAGCTGGCTGAGCCCAAGCATGGCAGACGGCAGAGCCCCGGGTGTGGAGACCTGTTTCTCAGAATGCTGGAGGTCCAGAAATAATGCCCCCAGGTGGTGACGAGCCACAGCCAAGAGGATGCACCCATTGCCCCTGGGGTACACAGAGAGGGGTGTGCTGGGCCAAGCACCTAGAGCGTTTCCAGCCTCCTCTGTCTGTTCATGGGGTCCCCATCTCCGTAACACGCATGAAGACGCCCCATTAGGAAGTGTGGCTGTGTGGCTTCCAGGTCCATACTCAGCCCTCCCTGGCAGCTGCCTGAATTTCTAGGCTCAAGGAGGCCAGGACAGGGCACTGTCTTTCTTCTAGGTCTTGATATAAGACCCAACCTTCCCCAAAGGGAAGCCCCGTTAGGAACTGAGTTTACGCCCACCCCTCACCCCGGCCACTTACTGGGACTGGGTCACACTCTGATGCTCTGAGCATTTTAATGTCATTGTATTCCCTATTTACAGACGAGGACATTGATGCACAGAGAGGTTAAGTGACTTGCCCAAGATCACACAGCTCTAGGTCACCAAGCCAGGCTTTGCCTCCAAATCATCCGTATTTTACAGACAGGCCACTGAGTCCCTTGCCCGGTCTGCGTGTGAGCCACGGCTGCTTGCTGAGGAGCCAGCCCAGCCCCTCCAGGCAGTCCCTGCAGAAGCTCAGTGAACGTGCAATGGTCCAACCAACGAGCGAGCGCCCGGGTGAAGCGCAGCTCCACGTGCAGCGGACGGAGAGCCCGCTGCCGGGATTGCGGGTCCTCAACGACTTCCCCGCCAGGCGCCCCTCGGCCTGGGGAAGGGGCCCTAATGGGCGGAGCCTCGTCCAGCGTGCCAATGGCAGGGCGGGAGCAGGGAGGGGCGGGGCGCCCGGGCGGGGGGTGCGGGAGGCGGGGCCGGCGGGCGACCGGCCAATGGCGGCGCGGGGGCCGGGCGGCGGGCGGTGGGCGGGGGCGCGCGGAGGCGGCGGCGGCGGCGGCAGCGGCGGCGAACAAAGAGGCGGCGGGCGCGGGCGGCCGACCGGAGCCGAGCGCAGCCGAGCCGGGCCGAGCCGGGCCGAGCCGGGCCGAGCCGGGCCGGGCCGGACCCAGGAGCGCGCGGGCGATGCGGGAGGCCAGGCCGGGGTCGGCGGGCCCCTGATCCCTGCGCCCCAGGCCAGCCAGGGAGCCCCGCGGCGGCCGCGCGCTCTAGCCGCCGGCCCGCCATGGCCGGGGTCAGCTACGCGGCGCCCTGGTGGGTGAGCCTCCTGCACCGGCTGCCCCACTTCAACCTGCACTGGGAGACCACCAGCAGCCAGTTCCGGCCCGAGGACACCGACTACCAGCAGGTGACGCGGACCCCCTGGGTCGGGGGTCAGATCTCGGGTCACGGCCCCCCTCCCTGCGGGTCACGATCCCCCTTCCCAGGGTCACGGCTCCCTCTTTCTGCAAGGTCTAAAGACTCCCTATCCCCCACCGACGGTCACGGCCTCCTCCTCCTCCGTGGGTCCTGAGCCCCACTCCCCGAGGGTCATGGTCCCCTCCTCCTTGAGGGTCTAAAGGCTCCCCACCCTCCATGGAGGATTATGGCCCACTCCTTCTCGTGGGTCATAGCACCCGTTCTTCTGGAGAGCCTCCTCCTGGGTCACAGGTCTCCCCTGCTTGAGAGTCTAAGGACCCCCCCCCCCCAATTCCCCATGGAGGGTCCACAGCCCTGCAGATTCTAGCCTTCTCTTCCGGAGCCACAGAGCCTCCTTTCTGGGGTTGGGAGGAGCTGCCTCCTTGCCCTCCACGGAGACCCCTCTGCCAGCTGTCAGTGCCTGCTAAGGCTCCTGACCAGGGGCGGCCTGGGGGTGTTGCCAGGCAGAGCTCCCTACCCAGAGGACCCAGGGCCCTGAGACCACAGCCGATGCCTGAGAACACTGGGTGAAGCCAGGTGGGGATTCCTTACCCCTCACCCCCAGCTGGGGAATCCCACTCACTGCCAAGCTTTTGGTGGGTGAGTGGTCTGGGTAGATGCCAGCCCTCCCTGGCTGGTAATGACCCCGTGCTGGGCAGCCAAGCTGTGGGATGTACACACAGTGCCTGCCCAGAGACCCGGCTGCCTGTAGCCCTGAGGGAGGGAGGCCTGGCCACAGGGACGCCAGATTGGCCTCAGTCTGGAAGGCTGGAAAAGGGGCTGCGCCTGGGCAGAGCTGGGGAGTGGCACGGACCCTTCGCAGCCCTCTCCCCGAGTAACCAGGCTGTACCAGTGGAGCCCTAGGTCTGGGGTCATGCCAAGCCCAAGAGCCACCCCTGCCACTGAGCCACTGCTGTTTGAGTGCAGGGCAGGGCACCTGGCTGTGGACATTTCCTTCCTGCCTGGGGATCCGGATTCCACACACCCAGTGACTGGGGTGCCTGGTCACCCGGAACACCTCTGAGTTCCTCTTTGGTGATGAATGCAGAGCCCCAGGGTGGGGTGGGAACGACTTTGCTCGTAAGATGGCCTGGGAGTCCGATATCCGTGGACCGTGTCACCCCTCTCCAGTTCAGAGCTCTTTCCTCTTTGGTCTCCCTTGTCCAGAGGTGGAGAACCGGAAGCACCCCAGCTCTGCAGGGGAGCCTGCCGCCCCAGCCTCAGTGCTCACGTGGTGCCCGGTCCCCCAGCCCTGCTGATCTGTCTCTAAGCAGACTAGAAAGGGGGCTAGGGATTGGCCCATGCACACCCAGGGACAGCAGGATTCTTATAAAACCGGACACCCGTGTTCTAGAAGCCCAGCCCTGGGGGGCTGACCAGTGTGAGGGCAACACCACTCCTCCGTGCACCCCACGAACTTCACCTGGGGTGGCTCTGCCACACCTTTCCCCGGGACTCTGCTTCCACAGAACAGGACAATGTACTTTACTTTAGCAAGTTCTCTGCCACTTGTCAGCTCTGAAGCTCCAGGGGTGCCCGGGGTGTCTGTGACCCACGTGGGGCTTTCCTGCTGGCCCGTGGGCTGCCACCTGCCCATGCTGCCCACCACGGTTGAACTGGCTACCATCCCTCTTGCCCTCCGAGGCTCCCGGACATGCGGTGGGAAGTGAGCGAGGGGCCGATGCCTGCAGCCCGTGGAGGCGTCAGGAGTGGTGGCCAGGCCCCTCTTTGCTCAGCCCAGCCTCCCGCAGGGCCCTTTGCTCCTGAGAGGGCCCTGGTTTCTGCCGCGGGGGAGGCTCTGACTCACTCTCTCCTCCTCTCCCCGCGGAGCAGAATTAGCTGCTGAATAATTCACGGTGTGGAAAGCAGCCTGGCTCCGTCCCCCGCCACCTCGCTGCTGGCTCGGGGCTGTGGAGCTAGCTGGACCTGGGAAGACCTGGGAGTCGTCCTGCCCCTACCCTCCTGTGCTGGTGCTTTTGGGCAAGCACTTGACCTCTCTGAGCCTTCACTGCCTCATTCCTGAATCTGGGCCGGTGCGCCGTCTTTGCAGGGCGGGTAGGGAAGTGAGGGCCCCGTGCTCCTGCTCTGTGTTGGGTGTGCAGCCTAAAGAGCTCCCTTTCTGGGTGGATGGGCGATGGTTTGGCGTGGGCCCTGGCCTAGGGCCTCTTCCTGCCTCCCCTGGGGGAGCATTCCTAGCTGTGGGGGCATGGCCGCCCTCATCCCGCTGGTGGGTGGTGGACCCCGTATGCTCCTGACTTGGGGCACCCCTCTTGGCCTGGGAGCCTGTCTGTGTCTGGCACCCACCTGGGCTGCAGGGGCCTGGCAGTCTTCTCCCCACACGTGGGCTGGGCCCAGCCGGGGAGGGGCTTCTGCTTCCCAGGCCGCCCAGAGGAAGCAGGGGCCCTGATGCAGGAGTAGAGGGGTGGTATGGCCTGGGGAGACCAGCTGTTAACCTTCGCTCTTTCCTGCCCACACCATCCACCGCTGGGAGCCCGGTGAAACCCACTGGAAACCCCATGGGCCAGACCCTGTTTGGGGGTGCTGTTTGGAGCTATCGCTAGCCTTTTCTCACACAAATCTGGAAGATGAGGGCAGTCGTCTCCATTGTACAGATTAGCAAACTGAGGCTTAAAGAGGAGATTGGCTGAGAATCACATAGGGAGTGGGTGGTAGGGCCGGAATCCTGCTTCAGGCCCCTTGCCCCTGCCCCCCTAGGAGCCAGAGTCAGCCTTGGGGGACAGGGGCTTCCTGAGTCCCCGATGGCTGGCCCCCTGCAGGGGATGTCACTGAGGGATTAGGTGCCGAGGGAGGCTGTTCTGCAGGCTCTCAGAGCCCTGGCTGGCCCTGTGCTAGGGGCTTGGAGCCTCTGCAAGAGCAGGGATCAGGTTTTGCATCCTAAAGGCTTGTGATTTCTCTTGGCCCCGTATTCCTGAGGCCTCCACCCTGGAGAGGAGGGGCTCCCTGGCCACGACTTCTGTCTCTTGGGGGCCCATGCTGTTCGCTGAACGGACAGACTGCAGGAGGGTGCTGCTGCGCGTTCTGTGGGGCCTGACGGGATGTGCGGGCTGGCAGGTGCTGGAAGGGGCAGAAGGCTTCTGGGGTCTGCTGTGTGCCGCCCCACCCCCGCGCCTGCCTGCTTGGCTGCCGGCCTGGCTCCCCTGGGACTGGGCTATTCCCAGCACGCCAGGAGCTCCCCAAGCCTGGGGCAGCTGATGGGCGGGATGCTCGTTTTACAGGGGAGGGGTCGCAGGCCCAGAACAGGGAGGAGACTCCCTGGTGGTTGCGTAGCCTGTGACCTGATGTGGCTTGAGGCCAGTCTGTCCTCCGTGGTGAAGGTCAGGGCTGTCATGGCTGCAGGCGGCGGGTGGGGGGAGAGTCTCAGAGCCCTCTCTGCAGACCGGCGTGCGGGTGCCTGGCTGCGGGGTGCCCAGCCTGGGCTCGAGTTCTGTAGCTTCCCGCCTGTGTGACCTTGGGTGGGTCCATCCACCTCTCTGGGCTTCACCTTGGGGATCTGCCCCCTTAACTCCTACCAGCCCTTCCCGACTCCCCACTCCCAAGCCTCCCACACCCCTAGCGTCCTGAGGCCGAGGTCACACTCGCTGTCTGCCCTCAGTCCCTCTCGTTGTCACTCACTGTCTCCCCCAGTTAAGGGGAGACTGGAAGCTGTGAGCTGGAGGACAGTACAGGCTGGTGTGGTGGTGCTGCGATCGGGTCAGGACTAGGCCTGCGGAAGTCCAACAATCAGGGAAGGCTTCCTGTAGGAGGCGCTACCTTGCCTGCCATGGAGGCGGTGAGCCAGGCTCTGAACGACCAGAAGGCGAGGACCTGCCTGGAGCTTGGCGTGCAGTGGGCATAGCAGCTCACCTTCCACGTCGGCCCAGTGTGTGGGGCCCTGAGTGCTTTGAATGTTCCCATCGAGACCCTAAAGATAAGACCGAGGTGGCTGTGCAGAGACCTTGGGGAAGAGAGTTCTAGGCGTTGGGAACAGCCCGTGCAAAGGCCCTGAGGCAGAGAGAAGCCTGGGCCTCAGCCCAAGATGAGGGAGTCCCTCTGATCTGAACATGCTGCCTCAGAGCTGGTGAGGGCTCTGTGCCCGGGGTTGTGTGAGGCCAGCCTGGAAGGCCACTTAGGCAGGACCCACAGGAGCCAGTAGTCTCCTAGCAGAGACCACAGCACCCTGGTTTAATGCTGTGACTCAAGCAGGGTCAGCGTGTGCCTGTGAATGAGACTGGCTCCGTTGGCACCATCTCCACAATCGGGAGGAAATTCACTCTGGTTAAAAACAGCATTTATCGCCTCTCTTCTTGTTTATGAAAGTAAGACACATTCATGGAACACTTGGAAAATAGGAAAGAGTGTGGAGACAGGAAAAAAAAGTCCCTCTAGCTGGAGTCTGTCCATGCGCTTATACCTGGGGAGGGGTGCCACCTAAGACTAGAATTTGTCACCGGCTTTTAAACATCATGTCTTTTGGACCATGTCCTTGGTCCATGGTTCTTGGTGCTTGCCCAGCATCCCACGACACCAGGATTCTGAGGCTGCAAGTGACAGAAACGTGCCAAACGTAACAGAGCACACCGAGGGGCTGCGTGGAAGCTTCTAGAGCACGCCCTGCGTGGACAGCAGCTGTGAGGGTGCAGGGCCTATGCATTGGTGGGGGGGGGGCAGGGAAGCCCCTGCTAGGCGAAATCAACTTTGTTTCGCTCTTAGCCAGTGCCCCGGCGCTGGGGAGAACCGACTGTCACGTGGCCCTTTGGCTGGGAGGTGAGGCTGCTGGCTGCCTCTGCCACCAGGTCTACACCCGCTGAGAGGTAGGTGTTGGGGCCAGACTCTTGCCTGGCGCTGGTGTGGGCTCTGCGCCGCCAGGCCCCATCTTTGGGCCTTTCTGGGGCTCCTGGTTTTCTCGGGTCTGAAGATGCGGTGACCAGCTCTGTCCCCAGCACTGCACTGCCCTGCCTGGGGGACAGAACAGCTGGGAGGGCGCCTGTTTTGGCTCTGACCAGGGGCTCTTGGTCAGGCGCTGGGCTGGGTGCTCTGTGTCTCTGACCCCCAAGTTACAGCTGCTCTACCGAAGAGGCTCATGGCGTTTGTTTAGTAAGCTGTTTGTTTCTGGGAAGCCAAACAGTAACACTACAGAAGTGAAACTGAGGCCCCTGGCCAGCCAGCATCAGTGGGCTGGGAGACACGGACAGGCTCCAGCTCCAGCCCAGCGCTGCCCTGCCTGCGGCCACAGCCCCTGTGCGCTTTCCGAGTCTGGTCCCCCCAGCAGGAGCTAGTCCAGGAAGGCTCAGAGGGTGTTGGGACCAGACCCCCACTGGCCAAGGCAGCTCTGCTGAGTCCTTGGCTGGAGAGGAAGAGCCGAATCTGCAGCCCAGGGACTGGATCACAGAGAGAGAAAGTGCCCCACGTGGCCCCCGAGGAACTGGGACACGTGACAGAGGGCGGGTGCAGCAGGACCCAGGAGCGCCTGGCTGTGCCCATTGCTGCCTCCTTGGATCTGCGGGGAGCCCACCCTAAGCCCTGTGCTGGGCCGGGACACACACATGGCCCCCAGGCGGCTCTCAGGGGCTTCCCAGGATCTTGGGGAGGGTGAGGACCCAGACCCACGGTCGGGTTGCTGCACGGCACACACCAGGCCCTGTCGCCCAGAGCAGGGAGCCACCCGCTGGCGAGGCTCTCACGGCACACACCAGGCCCTGTCGCCCAGAGCAGGGAGCCACACGCTGCCAGAGGTGGGAGGTACTTTGCAGAGGACAACTGTGGCTAAGGTCCCAGGCCTGCCCGGGGGTCCCTGCTGCAGAGGGGATGCAGATGCCCCAGAATTGGGTCTGCGCCTGCCCTGCTGGACTCCCGAGGGGCCCATGCACCGCTGACATCTGCCGAGGCAGCGGGTGCCCTTCGTGCCATGGACGGGGCTGTTGGAGGCTGCAGTGGGCCTCCAGGCCTCCAGTCCAGTGTCAGGGGCAGGACAGGGCCTGCGCCTGGTGCCAGCTGGCCCTGAGGCTGCTCGGGTTCTTGTCCAAAGTCGGGGCAGGCGCCCGGTGTGCCCTCAGGGAGCAGGGCCAGGGGAGGGTTGAGTGACTTCCTGGGCTGGGCCCGGTGGATTTGAGGGGTGCCAGGGTCTGCACGTGGGCTGGGCAGGCTTCCGGGGGGGCGCTGCCTCCCTCCACACTGCCCCCCACTCAGGGCCTGGGCTCTTCACGTGCCGCTGGGCTCGTGCACACACGCAGGTTGCAGCCCCCGCTTGGTGCGCTCCTCCCCCTCCTGGGAGGTGGCTGGCTGAGGCTGGGTCCCCTCAGAGGGGCAGGTGGGCTCTGAACGGTAGGTGTGCCAAGGGTGCTTGGTTTTGTCCGCAGCACCCTCTAGGGCCAGGCGTGTCCTGTGTTGGCTGAGGGCATGGGGTGAGGCCGGGCTGCCCAAAGCCTGAGTGGCCCCTTGCTTCTGCCTCTGAGAAGAGCGCCAGGCGCGGTGCCACTCTGCCCGGCTCCCCCGCTCCCCTGCCCTGGCCCCGTGCGCCCTGGGCTGGGTTCCTGACCGTTGTGAGGGGCCCTCCAGACTGCTGACCCCCGAGTCGGGTTGGGCTGTGCCCCAGGGTGGAGACGAGCCCTGGGCTGGGCTCTGGCCTGGACGATGATGTGACCGCCCGTCTGGTAGCTCCTGGCTACACCTGAGGCCTGTCGCGTGCGCCCCCAGGAGTGGCGGGTGGAGAGGCGCTTGCAGACAGGCTGGTGAAGAGCAGAGGAGTTTTCTGGGTGTCATGCTGGGAGACGTGTTAGGGCATCGGACCGAAATAGACACGCTCGCGGCTTCGAGGGCCGCGCCAGCGCCGTGTTCTCTGGTGTCTTCCCTCCGCCAGCAGGCGGGGCGTGGGCAGTGGGAGAGCGGGGCCTCGGTGTCCTTCCACGTGGCCCACAGGCCTGGAGGGCAGCAGGAGTGCCGAGCCTGGGGGATGACCGACCAGAGCTTCTCTCTGGGGCTTCACCCAAGTCCCGCCTCGCTGGGCCTGTGTCCCGGTGATTCCTGGCGGGGCAGGGCGGTGTGTGCCCGTGAGGATGGAGGTGCAGCTGGAGTGTGTCTGTGAAGCCTGGTGGCCTGGACCTAGGACCTCAGGGTGAGGGGACTTGGCCAGAGAGCTGGACCCCTCCCGGGCTGCTGCATGCTGGCCACTGGCTGTGCTTTCTCCAGGCATGGCCACGAGCTCACCATCATGGAATTTGTGAAACCCAAGCCTGGCTCGGTGGAAAATCTGTTTTTAATTTCTGGCCGGCATCTGGGAGCCACAGCCAAGTGTGTTCGGGCTGGGGAGCAGCGGGCTGCACACACGGCTCAGCTCCACGGCCCTCAGCACCCAGCCAGCCTGGCCCAGGGGGTGAGGGGGCCTCTTCTGGAACTTTCCTCAGGAGGCCTGTGCTGGCCCACACCCTGTCTCCATTACTCAAGTGTGGGGGCCCTGGGTGTCCCTGCTGGCCCCAGGCCCCTGGCCTGGAGGATGGGTGTCACCCCTGCCCTGGAGGATGGGTGCCACCCCTGGCCTGGAGGATGGGTGCCACCCCTGGCCTGGGGGAATGGGTGTCACCCCTGGCCTAGAGGATGGGTGCCACCCCTGGCCTGGAGGATGGGTGCCACCCCTGGCCTGGGGGGTGGGTGCCACCCCTGGCCTGGGGGATGGGTGCCACCCCTGCCCTGGGTGGTCTGGGGACCAACAAGGCCGTGTGTGTAGCTTGGCTACAGTGGGTGCTGAGGCAGAGGGCCAGCGCTAGGGGAGGGGGCAGTGCCATGTGGGGTGCGTCCTTCCCAGTGGGAGACCCCAGACGTAGGAGCTGTGGCAGCAGCTCAGCCTGGTGCCCCTCCCCTTTCCTCTCCCAGGCCCAGGGCTCCAGCCAGGACATCTCTGGGTTCCTAGAGGGTACCTTGGGGTGTGGGACGCTGCCAGCCTCCTGGACGCCCTGACCTGGTCTCTTCCTCTGGAGAAGGGCCTTTGGCAGCCCCAGGGCTGAGGTGGACAAGCCCCAGAGGCACTGGAGGGGTCTATGGCTCCCCCTTCCCACTCCATCCCTATCTACTGGAGCCACCACTCCGCTGCCTTGGTCACAGCTGCCAGGGCCTCCCAGGACGCAGGTCTGCAGCCTGGACCTGGTGCTGGGCCCTCACTGACACTGTCCCGCTCTGGGAGCGCTCACCCCACACCTCACCGCGCCCTGCCGGCACCCGCTGACCCTGTAATGGCAGTTTAGGGCACCCCCGGAAGCTCCTGCACCCCTCCCCCGATCTCCCTGGTTCCCACAGTTTGTGCTTCCAGGCCTGCACTGCTGGGGTCTTGGGAGATGCCAGCCCACCAGGAGCTGTGTCTGCGGGTCCCATGCCCCCGTCCCCAGGGCCAGGCCTGGCGCTGAGTATGGACGCCTTGTGTGTAGTGGTCCTCGCTCGGGCCAGCTCCGGAGGCCCTGTGCGTGGTGAGGCCGGTGTGACCGACATGAGGACACGGGAGTGCGGGCCGGTGAGGTCCCAGGTCCCTGGTGGAATTTGGACTTGCCTCCTCTTTGGAGCTTGCTGTTTACCAGCTGGCCAGGCCACCTCCCCCGGAGAGTTGGTACAGGGGGAGGGGGTCAGCCCTTCTCCGGGGGCTCCCGCTCTGGCAGGCACACAGCCCTCCCGAGTCCCTCCCATCCGCCCGGCAGCGGTGGGACCTCAGGCTGCGGTCACGCCCCCGGGCTGGGATCCCGGCCCCACCCCACTAGCACATGACCTGAAGGAAGAGCCCGATCTCCCGGAGCCTACCCAAGTCACCCCTGGACTGCTGGTCCCAAGTCTCCCTGCCAGCGCCAGCGCCTGGGTGCACGTGATTTCCCACAAGGAGGCCCCGCCACTGGGACGGCAGGGTGGCGGGGAAGCGGCCTCTGGCGCTGTGCTTGGGGCAGCCATGGGCCCACACTTCCCATCAGAACCTCCGTGATGGTCTCCCAGTGGGGCGGTGTCTCCCCAGCCTGGCCGCGGGCTTTGGTGGCCTGCAGAGGGGCTGAGTGGACAGGCCAGCTCTCGGGGTCAGTTGCTGATGGCACGGCAGCGGCTCTGCCGGCAGGGGTGCGTGTTCGGCAGGCAGTGTGTCCATGCTTCTGATGTGCTCCCCGCGTGTGGCGTGCTCCCTCGCAGGCTTCCGTGCCACGTGCTGCCAGGACGCCTAGCTGAGCTGCCTGTGCAGGTGACACGTGGAGGTGCTGCCCCAGGGTCACGCGTGGCCCTGGTGGCCTGGGGCCTCCTGGTGCAGCCCGAGCCGGCGCTGTGTGGTGCGCATACCCATGCGCTGACAGCCCACACCTGGGCTGTGCCGAAGGAGCAGAGCGGGTACGGGGTGGGGGCCGCAGCAGGTCGTGGTGGGGACAGGCCTCCAGCCTTGTGCGCTCTCACGCTGTGGCCTCCCGGCTGCGATGGGGCTCAGCCTCTGCTGCACGGGCTTTTATTAGTAAGATTTGGTGACACACCATGGCCCTCCCCTTACAGGGCCGGCTGGATAGCCCCCTTGTAGCTGGACTGCCAGCAAGTCTGAGGCTGAGCTGGGGATCCGCCCACCCTGTTGGGACCACCCACCTGCACAGGGAGCCCGCTGAGGCTCACACAGAGACCACCTCTGCCCTCGGGCCCCTGTCCCTTGTCCCCTCGCCGGCGCTGGGAGGACCCGCTGGAGGCCAGGGACTTGTCAGGTCCCCTGATAGGCCTCAGATTTGGGCCTGGGCCTGAAATGGGACGGAGTGAGGCTTCAGACCCTGAGCTCTGGCTCATCAGGTGTTTCCAGAGCCGGTGGGGACTTTGGGGGCCTTAGGGCCTGGGTGGAGCGCCTGGACACAGGGCCGGGCAGGGGCCTCCTTGGTGGATACATTCCACGGCCGGGGCTGCAGGGCCTTGGGACCGGTGGGGTGGGCTGGGGCTGAGAAACAGCAGCTGTAGGGCCGGGAGGAGTGGGTGGACGGGCCCCCAGCCCCGTGCACGTGTGTCCGCGCCAAGTCCTCACAGCGCCGTGCTTGAGGCGCGCTCAGGTGGCGGGCGGCCAGCGCTGTGGCCCGCGGTCAGGATACGGGCCCCAGCGCCTTGTCTCGCCTGACTGAGTGCTGACATCACTTCCATCACAGACGGAAAATTCCATTTGGTCAGAGCCCAGATGCTGATCAAACATTTCCCATTCAGAGGGGACGCCAGGCTGTTGAAAGGGAAGGCGGGGCCGCCACGGGAACGCCAGGGGAAGGCTGTTCTCTGGACGAGGGCAGAGGTCAGGCCGCCCGGCCCCTGGGCGGGAGGAAGCAGCTGCCCACTGCCGTGCGCCCCAGGCCTGGCTCCGGCACGCACGTGGGCTCTGCTGCTCTGCAGCAGTGGGCTGGGACCCTGTGTCATCCAGGAAGAGGGTGCTGTCACCTCTCCACAGGGCTGAGTGAGGCTGTCCTGGTGGAGGCCCCGCAGCCTGCCTCCCGGGGCTGTGCCAGGGGCCCACGAGCAGCCCAGCGGGGTCCAGGTTTAAGGCTGGCCTCGTCCACGAGGAAGCCGTCCTGCCAGAGAGAAAGCTGCCCCAGCCTGTCAGAGCTTGGGGTGGGGGGCAGGGGCCCCGTGTTTCTGAGTGTCCACTGTGGGCCAGGCCTCAGGGCCAGAGGGGGCACCACCCCAGCTAAATTGATGAGCTTAGCGAGGCCTTTCCAGCGCCCCCTAGGGGAGGTGTGGTCAGACAGACCCGGCTCTTAAAGGGTGGAAATAGGGCCCTGTCATCACGGTCAGGAAGGGCTTTCTGGAGCTGGGCAGACAGCACAGGAGGGGAGGGGGCGGAACCCCAGCTGCCCGGACGCCTGGCTTCCTGTGTGTTGGGCTAAAGGGGTGACATATAGCACCTGGGTCTCTGCCTGTCCTTGCCTTCAGGGAAGCCTCTGGAAGTCACTCTCCTGTCCTCAGGTACCCCTCCTGGAGCCCCGGGACACACTCTCACCCTCAAGGCCCTGGACCCGGGGCTCCTCGGCGCTGGGCCTGCCTTGCCCCTGCCTGTCACTTGTTCAGCCCGCGAGGCAGGGGTGGAACAGGAGGCTCCTCCCCCAGGGCTGTGACTCTTAGGGCCCCCAGGCAGGTGGCTGTGCCTGTGCGTGAGGCTGCCCTCGGCTGGCTGACGCCTCTCTCGGCTCCCCGTCGCCGGCAGGGGTCCGATGCCCAGGTGCTTGGGAACCCCTCCCCGCCTGCCCCCCCCCCCCCAGGACCACAGAGCTTCTAGCCACAGGCTGCTGTTGGCGCTGCTGCTGGGAGCTCAGGGGCGGCAGCTTCACGTGTGTGGGTGGGCGTGAACGTGCACACGCCCACTTTGTCCGTGAGTGGCCTGGACTCCCCCCCAGCAGCTGGGACAGCGGCTCTCTTTCCCCAGCCCACCTGGCTGCGTGGGTAGAGCTGGCCTGGGAGCAGCACCCCGAGGGCTCCCCACAGAGGCACTGTTCTAAGTCTTTATGGGCGTTAGCTCATTTCATCTCACAGCAGCCCTGCTAGGTAAGGGAGTGACGCCACTGTCCCTGTTCTACACGCGGGGAAACTGAGGCACAGGGACACTGACCCACGGTCACATTCTAGAACCAGGCAAAGCAGCGTTCGAACCCCAGCCCTCTGGTTCCCCTCAAGACTAGCCACCCCTCTGGGCTGGGCAGGAGCCACTCCCTCACACCTCTGTCCAGCAGCAGGCTGCCTCCTGGTGGTGACACCCGGGGTGTCCCTACCCTCGACCTCTGCTCTTGGGGGACTGGGCACCAGCAGGGACTGCAGCATCGCCATAAGCCGGCCCTTCTCCCACGTGACAGCTGGGAGGGACTGGGAAATGTCACATTCCCAGAAGAGGAAGCAGGGCCTGCGGGAGCCGCAGTGGCTCTCACGTGGCAGAGCTGGGAGCAGGCCAGGGGCCTCCCACGGCTGGCTGAAAAGAGCTACTGACAGGTTTCTGGGTTCGTGTTTTAATTATAAAGGTAGTATGGTTCGTGGTTTAGGGGAAAAAAAAAAAAAAGATGACCAAAAAAGGAAAAAAGAAAAAAAAAGAACCCAACAACAAAAAACAAACGAAATCAAAGCTGTAGGAGATCCAAGTGCGCCTCCCGGGTGCCCAGGCCTGGCACGGCGCCTTCTGGGCAGTGTCAGCTGTGGTGGCCTCTGCCCAGAGGGCTCTTCCCCGACCTGCTGGATGATGATGCGCCCTTGCAGACTCGCCCTGCTACTACTCCTGCCTGTTCTGCTTGTTCTGTTTTTCATGGCCCGGCTCCCATCCAGCAGGCCCCAGCCCCAGCCTCCTGCAGCAGCCCGGCAGCCCCGAGGACGGGGGCTCTGCCTGTCGGGCGCCTGCCAGGCCCTGGCACCTGACACGTTTCCCAGACAAGCGGTGAGCCCAGCTGTGCCCCACCCCAGCCTTGCCCCAGGCGCTAGGATTCTGCTTGGCCAGTGACGCTTATCTTACCTTAGTTTTCTCATTTGGCGAACGGGAGTGGGGGTCCTGGCGCCACCCGGGCGGTGGTCTAGGCCCGCGAGCTCTTTGGCAAGCCCCGATGACCGTGTGAGCCCTGGCCTCGTGCGCTGCCAGGCTGGGGGACTCAGGGCCCCAGAGGGGGTGCCGCCTGCCCTGGGCCCGATTCCCCGGCTTCCTCACTCCAAGAGGGGTTTCCTTGAGGGGGTGCGTGTAGATGCACTGATTTCAGCATCAGCTCCACGCACGCTGTGTTCCGCACGTGGGGGCGGGTGAGGGGATCCGGCAGGAGAGGAGGTGGCGCGAGGTGGGGGGTGGTAGGCGGGCTCCGGCTGCGGCAGGAGGGGCAGCGGTCGCTGCCAGCACTCGGCCGAGCTGGGGCTGGCGGGGGCCAGGCTGGTGAACGGGGCTCGTTGCTGGTGGAGATGTCTAGGCAGGCGTGTGGCGTGGTCCGACTGAGGATTTAGGGGAGCAGCCCGCAGGCGGGGGCGGCAGGGCCTGCGGCCGCTGTGCTTGGTCTCCAGCTCGTGCGTGTGAAGGCGGAGCCCACTAGGCGGTGCTGTTCCTCGCACCCTGCTGTGTGCTGTGGGGTGGGGCGGGGTTTGTGGCTGACACTAGGCCCCTGAGGTGAGTCCCCTCCCCCATGACTGGCGCCTGTCCCTGTGACGGCCCTTGATTTCCGCCCGAGACCCCCTGCTGTGGCCTGGCTGGTGTCCCTGTGTGACCTTGGACAACCTCTCTCCCCCCGCCACTGGCCTCGGGCTCCCCTCTGTGACGCCAGCACCCTGGGACCCTGACAAGGTGTGCTCTGGAGCCAGCACCCTGGGCCCCCTCCCTTCCCCCACCCAGCTGGTGGGCCAGGGTGGCCAGGTCCTGTCAGACCCTCCTGCCTGTGCTGCAGCCTCGTGGCGGTGCCCCGGCCTTTCCCAAGAGGGTGCCCCACGCTGGCCCTCACGCGGGAGGGCAGAGGCCCAGCCTCCAAACAGCACATCGGCTCCCAGGGCACCCGCGTGGCTTTGGATCATGGCTGGAGGTGCAGGCCCCGGTCAGGGGGAAGGTGGGAGAGCCCTGCCTCGGGTGTGGGGGTCATCAGGGATGGAGGGCTGGGCAGGCTGGCTGCTGGGAGGGCAGGGGGTACCGTCCTGCGTCTGCCGCCTGGCAGCTGGCTCCTGGGATACAGCCGCTGGGCACCAGGGCTGTGATCCCGCGGTCCCAGTGCCTCTGTGGCTGAGCCTCTGGTCCCGAGGGGGCCCCGCAGGGGGCAGGCGGGCCTGGGCGTTCCACCCCCCGGTGGCTCCCTAGGCTCACGGCCACATCGCTGAGTGTCAGGACGCGAAGAGGGTGTTTCCAGGTCCCCCTGAGGTCTGCTTGTCTCTGTAGTAGTGCCAGCAGGAGCAGCTAAGGGGTGTCCATGGTCGCACCACCGTGGGGTGGGCACCTCTCTGTGGTACTTACTTGGACCACCCCCCCATGAGGTGTACATGGTCAGGGCTAGCCTGCTGCCCTGCAGCCCTGTGTCAGCTACCACTCTCAACCCAGCGAAGCACGTGTGGGCAGAAAGGCTGTGATGTGGGCACATGGTTTCTTCCTCCTTACCTCCTCTGAGGCTGGTTTTTTAACTGGTGAAGTGGTGGTGAAGCACTGGACCAGGCAAACTGAAGAGCGTGGTGCCCAGGCCAGGCCGGGCTGGTGCCTGTTGTGACAGATGAAGGCTCTGGGCTGTGTCCCTGTTACTCTGTCCACCTGAGGCCCCAGCCCAGGACTGAGCCCACAGCGCGTGTCACCGCCGGATCCAGTCAGCTGCTTTCCGTGGGGGACGCTGGCCTCAGTGACAGAAGGGTGCTGGGGGGCACTTCCTCGTCCCCTGGTGCCTCCTGGGATGTGGTTGGAGCGTGCTGGCCCTTCAGGCTGCCCGAGGCTCAGGGGCTCACAGAGGCGGTCGGATCCAGAGTAGTCTCAGCGCTCGGGGTGAGGATGGTGACGGTGCTGATGGCCCCACACCCAGGGCCCTGCCCAGGGTCCCCCGCCAGCACCTCCTCACAGCGCCTGGGCCAGAATCCCTGTACAAAGATATGTGCCTTGGGCTCTGGGGCCCGGGAGGTGGTGGGCTCCCATGGGGAGCACACAGGGCCTGGGCAGGGTTAGGAGAGGGGGATCCCATGGTCTTGCCCACCTGGGCCCTCCAAGTGGGGCTTAGAGTCTTGGTGTCTAGGAGTGAAGACATGAGTCAGGGGTCCCGAGTCTCGGGTCCTGAGTCTGGGTGACCACAGGCACATCACCCAGGTGCTGGGAGCCTCTATCCCCAGGGCTGGGGGAGGGTTCAGTGGGAGAGCGTGCCGGTCCCGTGGCCCAGGCGCAGGTGGAATTCGCTGGTACTGCAGTTGGGTGCAGAGCCAGGGCGGGGGTCCACACCTCCAGCACCACTTCCCAACCTCCCTCAGGCGCTGCTGCTGCTGGGGGCGGCCGCGCTGGCCTGCCTCGCCCTGGACCTCCTCTTCCTGCTCGTCTACTCCTTCTGGCTGTGCTGCCGGCGGCGCAAGAGCGAGGAGCACCTGGACGCCGACTGCTGCTGCACCGCCTGGTGCGTCATCATCGCCACTCTGGTCTGCAGGTGAGCGCGCGGGGCGGGGCGGGGGCGTGGTCAGCGAGGGGCGTGGCTAGAGTGGGAGGGGCGGCAGGATAGAGGGGTGACTGGGCCGAGAGGAGAGGGGCCGGGTGGGCCGGCCGGGGGCGGGGGCGGGGGCGGGGCAAACTGGGGGCGGAGCGGGCCGGGGCTCCCGGGCCTGTGCCCTCATGCGGCCCCGCCCTGTCCCAGCGCCGGTATCGCCGTGGGGTTCTACGGCAATGGGGAGACCAGTGACGGCATACATCGGGCCACCTACTCGCTCCGCCACGCCAACCGCACGGTGGCGGGGGTCCAGGACCGCGTGAGTGGCCGCATGGGAGGGGCCTCTTTTCCTGCTCCTAAACTGCGTGTGTGCGCGTGTGCCCCAGTGTGTGGGAGCGAGGCGTGGGCGTGTGTGGGAGTGGGCCCGTGCCCCGGCTCACGCCACCCCGAACCTGGCGCAGGTGTGGGACACCGCAGCTGCCCTGAACCGCTCGGCGGAGCCCAGCCTGCAGAGCCTGGAGCGGCAGCTGGCCACCCGGCCAGAGCCCCTGCGGGCGGTCCAGCGGCTGCAGAGCCTGCTGGAAACGCTGCTGGGCTACACGGCTGCCATCCCATTTTGGAGGAACCCAGCCGTGTCTCTGGAGGCGCTGGCCGAGCAGGTGGACCTCTATGACTGGTACAGGTGCGGCCCTCTTTCCTTCCTGCCCCGCTCGGTTCCCACTAGTCTCTATGGGCCAGTCGGCGCCCAGCTCCCAGTGCCTGAGGTCTTTTGGGGCGAGGGGCTGGGGCCTCTGGTGGTCACTGTGGCAGGAGTCCCCCATGGGGACATACGTTACAAGAGTGAGGGCAGTCTCCATATCCCAGAACTGCCTGTGGAAGCTCCTCTGGGCTGTTTGCCTGGCTCTGCCCCAGCACCCCCTTTCTGCTGCCCTGGGATTGGGCCCCCTGTGCCCGGCCCATGTGTACGCTGTGCCCCCAGGTGGCTGGGCTACTTGGGCCTGCTGCTGTTCGACGTGGCCATCTGCCTCCTGGTACTGGTGGGCCTCATCCGCAGCTCCAAGGGGATCCTGGTCGGGTGAGTCTGTGGGCCCTCAGGGCAGGGGGAGGGGGTGGGGCACCTGCAGCACCATGTCCCCTGAGTCAGCCCTGTCCCACCCTCCTGTCTGTGGGTCCAGCCTGGCGTGGGGTGCAGCCCTCACCCCGGCCTGGAGGGTGCTGACTGACTCTCTTTGCCCCAAGGGTCTGCCTGCTGGGGGTCCTGGCCCTGATCATCAGCTGGGGCGCACTGGGCTTGGAGCTGGCCGTGTCTGTGGTAGGTGATGGAGAGGACAGGTGATCCCCGTCTGCTGGCCGAGCACGGGGGGTGGGGTGGGGGATGCCACACTCATCGCCCCTCCCCTCTTCCCCTGGGAGCCTGTCACGGGCGCACGGCCCGTCAGTCCCCACCGCCCGCAGACTCACGCTACCTTCCTGAGCCAAACGCAGACCCTGGGGGACCAGGCTCCACCCCTGAGAGCTGAGGGGTCTGGGGCGGGGGGACGCCCAGCTCAGTCATCCCATCCTCCTCGCCTGCACCCACCCCAGGGCTCCAGCGACTTCTGCGTGGACCCCGACACCTACGTGACCAGGATGGTGGAGGAGCGCTCGGTGCTGAGCGGGGGTGAGTCTGCAGTTGTGTCCCAGCAGTCCCAGCCACACGTGAGTGCCAGCTGCTGCCTGCAGGGCCACAGGCCATCTGGGTCAGGCCTTGCGCTGGCTCTGTTGACTGGGGGCGAAAGTCAAGTGTGGGGCTTTCTTATGTTTCCGACATAAGTTCCCTAGGAACCCAGATCTTGGCAGCCAAGTATGGGTGCGGCGCGGAGAGGCTGCCCTGGGCCGTCCGTGATGGACCTTACGCCTGGCCCGCATCGTGTACTGGATCCCAGAGAGCCGCCAAGAAGAG